TGAACAGAGGGACATTTTATAATGAAAAAGTTGCTTCATGAGGAAGCAAACATATACATACCTAATAACAAACAAATTACAAACATATATATACCTAATAACAAGGTCCCAGAATATTTGAGGCAACGACTGATAAAACTGAAGGGCGAAGTATACAACTCAGGAATAATGAGTAAAAATTTCAATATTCTACTCTCAATGATGGGTAAAACAACTAGACAGAAAATCAGCAAGGGCACACAAAACTTGAAGAACACTGTCAGCCAAGCAGACCTTGCTGTCATCTACAGAACCTTCCACAAAGCGACAGAGGAATACACAGTTTTCCCATGCACACGGGTAACATTCTCCAGAATAGACCATATGCTAATCCATAAAACAAGTTTCAATAAATTTAAAGTAACTGAAATAATACAAAGCACGTTCTTAGATCACAGTAAAATTAAATAAGAAAGCAACAACAAAAAGAAATTTGTGAAAATTGAAGAACACACTTCTAATCTAATGGCTCAAAGAAGAAATCCTAAGAGAAATTAGGATGACTGGGCACAAGGCCATCTCTAGCCCATGACACTCAACCAGGCCCCAGTGACCTGTGGCTAGAAGAAGAAAAAAAAAATCCCTGACACTTCCCATTGGTTTTAATCAAAATACTAAATTAAATACATCAGGCTGACATCTGCTGGGAGCAGATGCTCATTAGGATGAAAGTCAAAAAGATTAGGCAGAACAGATAACTAATACCTTGCATTACCCAGGTCCCCATCCCTCAGAAGTTTTCCTTCCAGTAATTACCAGGAAGATGTCAAATGCAGGGCCTCTTATTTCACTTGTATGAGGCCTCAAGCATGCAGAAAAATATTACAGGCTGAAGAATCTTTTGGCAGATACTCCCTACTTGAACAGGACAGAGTTATTATGAGTAAAGCAGACAGACCTGGGCATGTGACATTTACTTCTCTGAGCCTCAGCTTTCTCCCCTGCAGAATGGAAAACACACCATCTACTTCAGAGGGTTGTCAGAACCATTTAAGGAAATAATGTATGGGAAACCACTTTGGGCTGTACCTGGCCCATAGTGGGCAGTCATTAACTTCATTTCCTTCTCTGTATGGACTGCTGTTACTACAGAGAGATAGAGTTGTCTTCTAAAAGGTCAGCAGAGGGAGTTCCCCAGACTTTTGCAGGTTTCCCCAAAAATATACCCATCAAAGCTGCAGTTGCAGTTTTTAAATGTAGTTATATCTCTTTAAGTACAGGTTTAGGATTTGTGTTGCTGAAGAAGGGGCTTGGTGTGGGTTGATGGGTGACTGGCAGCCACCAGGAACCTACAGAATTATGGGGAAGGCAACAAGATAAGGCTGAAGAGATGAAGATTAACAGACTAGCAAAACACTTCTCTGTAGCAGCTTCTGTTTTATATTACTGCTTTCAGGCTCTTGTGGGAGGAAGTGGGCAGAATGGATCTTAATTTTCTGCAAATCCATTTTTGCTGATGATTCTGAATGGTTTTGGCTAGGGTCCATTGAAAACTCATTTGCCACTGATCATGTCTACGAAAACTGCAGGTGTGTGGATATGCTCTGTCCCTCCAGATCTGCTACATTTCCATGCTTCACCCCTACAAACAGCCACTCGCCATACAAAGGGTTTTGCCTTATGTTTGGAGCTAAGAACCAAAAAGCATGATTAAGGTATGGCCAACCACATAGACTCTTGAGATACAGAAATGTAGGGATCTTATTCACTGATCTTATTCTGTCTTATTATGTCTGTCTTATTCACTCTGGTAGCCCACAACACTGCCTGGCACACAGGTACGGAACAAACTCCTCTGAATGTAACTGTTCTGAGACCATCACAGCCTCATTCCAATCATATATGGGAAAAGTGCCTTTCCAGGAAAACTCAGAGTGCTTTACTGCTAAAACGCTCATTTGTCTTCACTTCGAAAGCCATTATTACAGCAGCTCTATTATATGATCACAAGTAAGTTTAATAAAAAGCAAAGCATCTGTGTCCAGGAGGGCACAAAGGCTCAGGGAAAGGGTTGTTATATAATAAGATTTTCCTGAGCAAGCAGCACCAGGTCATAAAAAGCTATGTCTAGAATCCACTTAAAATGGAGGCATTAAAACAAACAGGAAAATCCCCTGAAGATCAGCCAAGCTCCCTGGGACCTCTTTCCCTCTTCGAGATTAAGGACCTACAAGAAGAATGCTATTTCAATGCTTTGCACTTAAAAATAGCTGTGGGGAGACAGGCAGACTAGGAAACTCAAGTCCCACTGCCTGGTTCAATTCTGTCTCCTTTACTTCTAGCTCCATCACCCTGGGCAAGTTAGCCTCCCAGGCTTCAGTATCTACCCCTGTTAATTAGATAACAGCACCCATCTCACAGGATTACTGTGAGAAAGAGATGAAATAAGACAAGGAAGAGCACTTAAAACACTCTCCAGCACACAGCAAATAATCAATTAAGCTTTTGTTGTTGCTATTATTATTATTATTGGAGCTTTTCTCAAGAGAAGGAAAAAAGAAGCACAACTGTCACAGAATCTGGAGGGATATCCAAATATCCACAAATCATGAGGGCACTTACGAAAGGCCTGGTGGGAGCGGGGACCGGGACGGGGAACACACGTAAATCCATGGCTGATTCATGTCAGTGTGTGACAAAAAGCACTGCAATGCTGTAAAGTAATCAGCCTCCAACTAATAAAAATAAATGGAAAAAAAAAAAAGGCCCGATGGAAAGAGAAACACAAATGTATATTAACACACATATATATAGGGAATCTAGAAAGATGGTATGGATGAACCTATTTGCATGCAAGCAGTGGAAACGCAGACATAGTGAACAGACTGGTGGACACGGCAAGGGAAGGAGAGGATGGGACGAACTGGGAAAGCAGCGCTGAAACAGAAACATTACCACACGTAAAAGAGCCAGCCAGTGGGAATTTTCCGGTTCTTTTGCGACAATGTAGAGGGAGGGGTAGGATGTGGCGGGCGGTGCGAGGGAGGTTCAAGGGGGAGGGGACATATGTAGGCTTATGGCTGATTCCTGCTGATGTTGGCAGAAACCAACATAATACGATAAAGCAATTATCTTCCAATTAAAAATAAAAAAAACCACCAGTAGGACAGACGCAGACTATTACACACAGGGTGGATAAACAACTAGGTCCTATTGTATAGAATGGGGAACTATATTCAATATCCTGGGATAAACCATAATAAAAATACACATATGATATACACCTATGTGTATAACTGAGTCACGCAGCTGTACTGCAGAAATTAACACAACGCTGTAAAATCAACAATAAGGAAATGAAAAGACCAATGGACGCTTTCTAACTGCCATCTTGAGAAAATGAAAGAAATGAGCTTCAATGTGCATGGAAACCACCCACTGATCTGACTCAAGAGTGAACTTGTCCGGGAGTCTTGACGTCCTCACCCTTAGGGCACTCTGCAGCGTCTGTTAGAGGAGTTTTCCCGATAGATTTCCTACGTGTAAACAGCTGCCTGCTGGAATGTAACCCTTATATTCAAAACTACCCGTAAGTGAAAGGGAGCCATTTGGGGTCAGACCTCTGGACATAAAGAAGGGAAGAAGAAATGCAGGTCAAGAGTTATTAGATCAAAGGAGACAAAAAACAACATAGAGCTGTTCCAAAAAAAAAAAAAAAACCCAAAAACGAAATGCCAAGGAACAGAGACTTCCCAGCATAGCAAGAGCCGCTGGTGGAGGCAGAAGTCTGAACAAAGGAGGGTGGGGGGAGCTCTGCAGTACTGTCTGGCAGCAAGTGGTCATCTGCCAGTGAGGACCTTCCACGTGCCATCAGCCACACCACACAGAAGTGCCCGGCAAGCAGAGGCACAGAGCCGCAGGGTCTGCTCAGCAGAGAGGGCCACAACCCTCCTGGGTGGAGGCGGTCAGGACACCATGGGGCAGTCTACTCGTCCACCAAGCCCGGGCCTGTGAAGCCCTGGTGCTCTCTCGGCCTTGGCGCCAGCTCAAGAATACCGCTACCTAAAGGACTCCAGGTCCCACGGCCAACCCACCAGCTATCACCACAGCTCGGTCAGAAATCACCTTCCTACAGCTCCATGGCGCCACCACCTCACACAGATCCCTCTCTACCTGGAACCACCACATGGCCCAGATTTTCCAAAACATATTGTCATTTGAATTTTTTAAATAAAGATGCTTATTAAAGATACACCAAGATGTGGCTTGATTTTTATAGTTTTTAATGCCTTCACGTACATAAATTTACAAGTTGGCAGTGGAGGTGAGCGGGGGGAGAAGGAGAGGAAAGAGAAAAACCTTTTGTCAGGAAAAAAAAAAAAATGCATCTGCTTTGTCTCCTTCTCCAGAGACTGCCCAGAAGCAGCAGTACCCCCTGTGTCTCGGCCCAGTCATGTCATACATCTTAGGCCCCAAACACTGGTCGCTGTTATTCAACCACCATATAACTGCCTCAGCTGGCTTGTCCAGCCCACTTTCTGTTCTGTGGAAATTTTTAAGCCAGCTCCTCCATGGGTCTCTTTGCTTCCTCTGAAGACTCCACAGGGCCTGGGAACTCCATGTGCTGGCAGCAGACAAGGGTCGGAGAGGTGTGCCTTCAGCTCCTAATTAAATCACAGGATCTGGCTCATGAGTTCCTTGCCAATAAAACACGAGCAAGGAACCTTTATCGTTCCATTTAAAAAAGTAAAAAAAAAAAAAAAAAAAAAGTCTATTTGCTGGATTAACAAATGGTTTAAAAAAAAAAAAAAAAAAAAAAGATGCCTGAAGGAAGAGGGGATGGACAAAAAGCAGCAGCTTCCCTCAGTCAGTAGCTTCCTGCTCTGAAGTAAGGCATCTGAGTATGAGACTTTCCGCCAGATGCCAAGATGCCATCGTAACAATGCAGGTAAAGAAAGGGAAAGCTCTCCTTGACTCCTTCTTTTAAAATTTCAAAAGACAAAGAAACAACTCCTTCTTACCTGCCAGGACCCTGTTAACAGAAGAGTGAGTAGCCAAGCCAGGCTGTCCACGTTCATGAAAAATCCCAGCATAAGGCAAATACTCAGGCAGCAAGAAACGCCTGTAAGACGGAACCGCGTGTTAAAAGCCTACCATCTTAACACAAAGGAGATACACCATCTACCAACCCACAATCAAAGATAAGGGCTCCACTAAGCCTAGGAATCCACAGAAACCTAGAGCAGAGTGAAACTCCTAGGACACACCCCTTCACACACATCTATCTTCTTCCTGATCGTGCTTCTAAGGTTTCCCGGGCCTTTTTTTTTTTTTTTTTGGGGGGGGGGGGGGGGCGCTCCTAATCTTGAACAGGATGCTCCAAATGCCACTTTTCTATGCCTTTTCATTGTGGTTAATCATCTCCTGGGAAGATTTTAGGTGGCAGGGCTTGACTGTAGGCTCCCTAGGACATAATTCCAGATATGGACAATCCAGATCAGGAAGTAGGTTTAAAAATCCCAGTCTCTTGTAAAGGCTTCCTTAGAAAAGCCTCTTCTAAGAGCTGACTACCTGGTTCTTACCTTGGGACAAAGCGTCCAAGCGAAGGTGCAGACATCCGGGCGTTGCGCGGAGCTCGGTGCCGGGATCTGTCACCATTGTCCCTGGAGAAAAAGAAAAAGGCTACACGTGAGAGAGTCACTAAAGCAGAATCAGACACCAGCCCCAAAGATAAGACATGTCCCAAACTAAAGTCCTACCCTTAGGTGAAGGCCCCGGAGAAATCAGTCATCCCGGTTGCTTACTAACTTGAGTGGCACATTCATAGACTGCATTTCTGGAGAACCTCGATTAAAAAATTTATGAGCATTTACTAACATTTCAGTAAGAAAGAAGATTTTTCTTGAGTTAATGTGGTCTCTGAATTCTGCAGCATCTGAAACTGAAACCAAGTTAGGATCTTCTAAAGGGATTTAGAATGGATACATGTAAACTTTTTTTTTTCTAGATGGAAAGGTAAGAGAAACTTTGGCTTTAGAGGATCCATGAAGGAAAGAAAATTCTCCCGAGAATTTCATTCAACAGCTGATTATCTTTAAATACATTGGTTTAGGTCCTCGGTATGGAAAAATCATCATTGATATGTGAAAGAAAAACAACACAAGAAAAAGACTAGGCAGTCCTTTCTTTTAGAAACTGAAAAATTAACAATGATGAAGATGATCAGACAATGCAATCTAGGTCATTTTAGTAAAAAGAAAAAATGTTTAGTGTTTTCTTTATGGTCTGTTAGAATAACAGTAATAACCACCATTATTAAATAGCCACTAAGTCCTAATACAAAGGTTATTAATTAATATGTTATCTCATTTAATCTTTCCATCAAGTATCATTAGATGTGTTTTACAGATAAGGGACTAAGGACCAGAGAGACAAATGCCCAAGGTCATACAACTAGTAAGAGGTTGAGATAAGTTTCAAGGAAGATCCGTCCGACTCTAAAGCCCTGGCTCTTTTCACTACACTTCACCGCTTCCTACAAGAGAAAAGGAGACAGAGCCTTCATGTGGCTTAGCTTCCAATGCGTGAAAGGAACAATAAGCCAAAGGGCACTGGCTGGACAGAGTAGTTAATTAACTGCTCAACCAACTCTACAAAATAAATGAACCTCTTGAGAGTCTGATTTGGGATATTTTCTAAATTCTTCCTTTGGATTATCTTCAACTTAATGAGATAATCTTCAAACTGGCCCTGGAATCAAAGACAACACTTTGGCTTTCAAGGGCACTACTAAGAGCCTTACAAACCAGAAATGAAAGCCTAGGAAAATTTTTATATCTTGGTGGAATTGGATGCTGAGCATTTACAGACAAATCAATATCAGGGATATTGGAAGTTGATCCATTAAAAGTCAGTACTTGGTTTTTATCTTCCCAGAAGAGACAGCATATCTCTGTTTTCTTTAACATAGCAAATTTCTTTGACTTGAAACTCTACAGGTGAAGGGAGATGCAAGGAAAGAAAGATAAGACCATATGGAAAGTGAAAAGGGGATTATAAAGAACGAGATCAGAAGTTCCTGACCAGTACACTGCAACTCTGGGGAACCCACCAAATTATTACAAGGAGTAGCTGATCATCAAACAAAAAAAGGCAGCTCCCAAATTAAGTATATTATTAATTTTCAATATGTAGATTCAAGTTGTGATCAAAGTACAAATTCAGTTAAAAGTACAAGTGAATTCATGACAGCTCTTCATTTGTTCTACTTATCAACGGGCACTAAAAGTGCAACTAATTATCATGAGAGGAGTTCGAAAATATTTTGAAGTTAAAAAGGGTTCTGAGGGGGGGTAAAGGGTCCTAGGCCTCAAAACAGTCGAAAATTAAGTTACGGAAAGCAGCATCACGGGACAAATCCAATTACTTTATTTTACAGCTATGAGAGAGAGCTGGCCTTCCCAGAATCACAATGCGGAGCTGACAATTTACTTCTGAACAAGGGCCAAAGAGCCCTCTCCCTCTGGACAATAAACAGCACTCTCTCTGGCATGAGCAGACTTGGAGAGCAGGAAACGGGAGCGGGGGCAGTGCCGGAGACAGTTGTTGTTGTTGTTTAGTCGCTAAGCGTGTCTGACTCTTTCGCGACCTGATGGACCACAGCCTGCCAGGCCCCTCTGTCCGTGGGATTTCCCGGGCACGAATACTGGAGCAGGTAGCCAGTCCCTTCTCCAAGGGGACTTCCTGACCCAGGGGTGGAACCTGCATCTCCTGCACTGGCAGGCAGATTCTTCACCACTGACCCACCGGGAAGCCCACAGCAGACAGTACTGAACGGCAGTTGCCAGAACCCAAACATGACACAGAGCTGGGTGACGGGACATAGGAAGGTAACTCAGAAAAGTGGACAAACACCACGGCTGGGAGAGAATCCGGGCTCCTGGGACATATTTCCTGTGGCTCTTTTCGTTGTTATTAAAACCTAAAAACAATTAACTTCCTTCTGATTCAATTTCTCCTTCCATTTAAAAAAAGAAGGGAGGAAGGAGGACAAAACATGGTCAGAGATAATGGCTTTATGTTACTTAGAGATTACTGGAAGGTATATACAGATGTATCTATATATAGCTATATCTTCCGGTAAACTCTGAGTAACATAACAATCTCCCTTTATATATATATATATATATATATATATATATATATAGAGAGAGAGAGAGAGAGAGAGGAAAATAAGATACATATACAGGAAAATCAGCTGGCTCAGACACAAGCAGTCTCAGACTGACTGTTACATTAGGAACCACAAAAGAGGCAATATATTAAGTGACTGGAGAGGTACCTAACATATTGATTAATGATAGGGAAGTCGGAGTTAAACAGCATTTCAATAAAATGTAGAGAAGACTTCAAATTCAAATTGTTGGGCACACTAACAAAGAAGCAGAAATAACAGAACTCACAGACTGATTTGGAAAAGTGGACCATGGTGAACACACAAACAAGATGCTGCCTATAGGAAAAAAAAAAAAAAACCAAAGGCATATGGGAGAAAATAGCCTGTAACAGTAATAACTCAAACATTTCCTGACTGGAAAAAACTTGGAAACATAAATGAGCAAGGTGGTACAGGCCAGAATGCCCAACCAGTGGACAAGTTAAGCAAGAACAGGGCAAAAGACCTAGGTTTTCCTGCCGGCACACAAAAATCCCTGACTAAAGGCATGGCTCCAATAAGCGAGAGGTGAAAAGAGCAACTAATGACTCTAGCTGCTAGTTCTCCTATAGTCTAGAAAGGAGAGAAAATTCAAAATAAGGAGCTGAGATGGGGAACCATATTTCAATGTAAAGGATATTTGCAAAGGCTCTTCGGGGGGGGGGGGGACAGAAGTGAGGGGAGAGAGGAAGAGTGGTAAGAGTGTTAAGAAAGGACAAAGAAATAAAAAAAAAACACGTTCAATTTAAAAAACTATACAGACTCTGCCACTCACTTAAGTGCTGATACAAGATCAACACGGAGCAAGACTCCACGAGATGAAGGAGGCAAATTTAGGCCGAGACTGAAGGTTAGAGAATGTTTGCCGGAGGAGCAGAGGGTGAAAGGTAGACCCAGAGAGGCAGTTCACAGAGGAATGATGGAGGGTGCTACCTACTGGAGACCAACATAACGTAACACAAGGGCTTCCCTGGTGGCTCAGAATTGCCTGCCCATGCAGAAGATGCGGGTTCAATCCCTGGGTCAGGAAGATCCCCTGGAGAAGGGAATGGCAACCCAGTCCAGTATTCTTGCCTACAGAATCCCATGGACAGAGGAGCCTGGTGGATGGACTAGTCCATGGGGTCGCAACACAGTTGGACATGACCGGGCGACTAAAGAAGAAGAATAAGGACAACAATGTAACATAGACCATACCCTTTTCAAGGGGGTGGGGAGGGACTTAAACAAACACAGTGAAGACCCGAGTGTGCACACATGCTGGCACTGTTCCTCGATCGCTGGAGGACTCCTTCTCACCAGAACCCTTTTCAGGGAAACACCTGAGAAATCCTCATCAATTTCATCAGTCAGAAGCTGCCTTTAAGCCAGCGGGACAGAAGCTGGCTGAGTTGTTAATGGCTTTCCCAGCTGTTGAACTCTGTGCATCTCTGATTAACTCTCAGAGGGGTATTTGGGAAGGAGAGAGGGAGAAAAAAAAAAAATCAGACTTTCTTATAAAACATTTTATAAGGAAAAAAACACCCATCAAACAATTAAGTGTCTAAGACGAGTGCCAAATTCAAGAAAATGCAATCTCTGGAACAAGGGAGAAACACAGCAGCTACCCTTGCTAAATGCCTGGGATTAATTGCCTCAGAGAGGCTGTAATTTAAAGGAACGGAAAACACACCTACAGGCTGCCGTCTGAGTCCTGACCAGACAGTCGGGCTGCCATCACTGCTTTTGACAAACAGCTCTGACTCGGGCCTTTGTCAAGGCAGCTCCGGCAGCACAGAGCTCAAAAGGCCATTGTCTTCTTGACAATACACAGTTGACTCTGCAGAAAATCAGACTATTAAAAAAAAATACCTGTTTCCCTGTGCTCTCCGGTTTCTACTCAATCTCCAGACAATAGAAGGCGTACTCCATTATTCCTGCCCCTGGAGGCACAGAGATCTTGGCCAAGTCCTTTCTTTACTCGGGTGCCATTAGTGAGGCTCTGGCCTCTACTTTGAAGGACTGTGTATGTGCGCCAGGGGGAGATTTCGGGGAGGGAGACACAGGCCCAGCTGGGATTATTCACAGGGGATACCTAATAGCAGAGGTCTCTTGGAAATGCAGAGCCTTAATTCTTCTCCAAGGAATAGTAATATAACAGATAATTACCACTTACAAATTCTTCTCCTCTCTTATTCTACCTTTAATTTCATCTGCATACATTATGCAAATCCATATTCCTATTGTGCATTTTATATTAAAAAATAAATACATATCTCTAAGTGATAGTTACCCTCCTTTCCCTCTCTTCCCTCGTGGCTGTTTAATTCTTTAAACCCAGACATATTCCATTTTTCTTTCTCTTCCCCTAGCATTCTTTATAATAAATATTCATATGTATTTTACTTGCACAGAAAGAATACTAATTCTAAAGCTGCCAAGCAATATTATATATTTCTAAGCAATAGG